TTTTTTATTTATTGCTCTTGACTTTAGGACACTTGCAGTGAGTTCTAATAATGCTCAGAAACTATTATTATTATTATTATTATTATTATTTATAGGACAATATGTATGGTAATTTTAAAGTTCTCCCCCCTCCCCCTTTGTGGTAACAAAATGGCATCATTTTGCAATTATACGGTAATTAAAATTTTTTTTGTAAGTTGTGCGAAATTAAAAGCGATGCCAATCATTCCACGGGGCCAAACAAAATGGCGGATTTATGAATTTGCCCCCCCCCCCCTCTTCAGAAAATCCTGGCTACGCCCCTGTGTCCTGATAATCTGTCTGACTTAATATCCTATATCCTGTAATCTCTGGTGAAGTGTCTTGGCTCAAATCCAAGTGGAAGTATTAATAGACAGTAGCAGCTATAGAAGAAGTCTACTACAAAAAGTCTGGGTTTGGTAGGAAATCCTGTATCACCTAAGGAAACACTAGAAATGGCGCCGTTTAATACAAAAAAGGAAAGTACTAAGTTGAGTTGATAAAATAAATTTCTAAAGGACTAATTTAATCCCCAATTAGTCTCTGAGATTAAATACATTGACACATTAATAAAGGTTGATTGATTGAATGACTCTATAAAGATGACAAAACAACGCCAAGTAGATAAATCACCGCACAGGTCACAGTAACGAATTCCGAAATCTCTTGAGCCAATCACATGCAGCGCGCGATAATTTTGCTTATGCATTCACTGATACTCACGAGTTACTAAACGGTAACAGCAAAATTCGCTGTGTAAATAAATACTAGTTATGGGGAAATATATTTTTCAGGACTTGTTTGGGCGAATCGTTCTTAGTCGCGCCGTAAAAGGTGAACATTAGGAGTAATGTAACACGCATAACACAACGATGTTTGTTAGATAGCAGAAAATCATTTTGTTCAAGTCTCCAATAAAGGTGTGTCTGTATATTACCTATAAAATGGACAATATAAAGAGACAGGAAATCTTCCTAGACATGGTATTACACGCAAGTTACATAAAGACGTTCTGCTAGTAAAATACGACAAGACACTTTGGTAACTAGTCTTTGCACTGTCACTGTCCAGCTCAGGGCTTGTGCATACAACAGGCAACCCAGTTTACGCTGTTAGAGCGTCTTGTTCTATTAGATTCTACGGCACATGGGCTATTCCCCTCTCGTTCTTTGCTATAGTAGTACGGTTGCCCATAGGGACAAGTTAGACGAGTTGCTGCAAATAAGAAACCAGTTGCTACGAATAAGAAACCAGATGCTACAAATAAGAAACCAGATGCTGCAGCAAATCGTTTTTATAGCAAATGTTTTCATATTTGCAGCTACTGGTTTTCTATTTGTAGCAACTGGTTTCTAATTTGTAGCAGCTGGTTTCTTATTGAGCAACTCATTTGTTATTTGCAGCAATTCGTCGAACTTGATGCACGTCTCTGATGTCTCTTATATGGGTCACCATATCTACGTGCTTGCAGTCCAAAACTAGGGACCTCCTAGATCAACTGATGTGCACCATATCACATTACTACTCAATAATAAGACTAATTGCCTCTTGTCAATTAACACTTGAATGATTTTCTTGAATAGCAATACTGCCAAACTGCATGAAGAGTGAGATAATTAGCGGGACTAATGACCGGTGACGTCACAGGCATGGCCAATAAATAAGTAAGCAAAAATAAAACTTATCAGTTGAATCAAATAAATAGTATAGCGAAGTGAAAATCGAAGCGAAGTTGAAATCAACCTTTTAAGAATATTTGGGTATCGCATTACGCAGACATCGATATATAAGCGAACGACGAGGTGAGGAATAAACGACAGTACGTGATCGCCATGGCGGGGCTAAATGTGTTCGCGTTTTTGATGCTCTGGTCTATGTTGATGACTGGAATCTCAGCCAAACACAATGGGTAAGAGTACCTTAACTGTATGCTATACTGCTATCTTGATCATGGAGTCTTTTAGAAAGAGTCTGTTTTTTTATCGGCTCCGTCCATGGACAAGAAGGCGCACTTTTTGAACCCCGACATTCAAGAAAGACTAAAATAGAGGCTTACGAAATTTTGCAAGGGCATCAATACTGAGGTTTTGCACGACGCATGTTAAGTAAACGCCTTTTTGAGCGACGAATAACTATCCTTGTCTTGACTGAATTAAGTTTAGAGGATGAAACCCGTAATTGCGCAACCGAAGGGATAAATTTAACCTAAATTTAATACCTTAACGATAAATTTAGCAATTAAGGATGTTGCAAAAAAAATCCGGTAACAAAACTGATAAGACTTTTAACCAGGGCGAAAACAAATGATGGAATTTCTAACAACTTCATGCGATTTTTAAGAGGAGAAAGAACAAGAGCGTCCAGCGTTTTCCACTGAACTGTATTTTTCCGAAAAACGATACTTTACTTCTCCAAGGAGAATCTTTCAAAAAGGCACCGTGCCAAAAGAGGTTAAGATGAAATTAACACCTGGGCAATTATGTTCTATGAGGTCCTGAGATAATCTGATAATATAGGTCACGCGCAGAGCTAATCTATTAAGCAGAATGACATTATACTCATGCTTTTGTTTGACTGTACTGCTTTAAAATTCAAGCTTAGCTCTCTAGTCTCTTGGATTCTATGCGCCAAGCATTACTATGTGTGCTATGCTATGCTATGTGTACTATGCTATGATCATTTGACAGCCTTAAAGAAACTCTAGATATTGTCGTATTAGGGATGGACCATTAAATATTTAAGGGGGGAGGGTTGGAGGAATTTATGTGGCAGGATATTTAATATTTTGTAACAACCCCTGCACGCACTTTTTTGTGCGTTTGCTCGATATTTCTTTACTGAAAGGAGAAGTTGCGCGATATCTTTTCGTAGGTGAACTGCTTGCTTTAATTTTTTTCGGGATTTACGCAACCACAACCATCCCTTTAATAGTTTAAAGCATATCTACTAAACTGAGTGCAGGCAGAATGTGAGTCTAATGGGGTGATCAGTGACAGATAGAAATGAAAGATCCATATCGATTTAATGGCGCGCAGAATATACTAGTGTAGATATGCGTTACGCACTAGAGAGTATAGTACATATCTATAGTGCAGAAAAATAATAAAGAAAAAAGAGCAAAACAAAAAACAAAAGATGACAGAAGAAAGAAAAAAAAAAAAGAAAAAGAAAAAAAGAAAAAGAAAAAGAAAAGAAAGAAAAAAGGACTGGAAATGGAATAAAGGCAAGGAGAAAAAAATAGATAAATAAAAGAAAAGAACAAATAAAGTAACGTGCCACAACCAATTCACATTATATAATTACTCTATAGGGTTAAAAATAGAATAAATATGGTCCAATATCTTGCCCATCCCCTTCCCTTTCATCAAATCAAGTAGCGTGTAACACTTATCATCTCTTATAATAGATCGTTAATTTATTACTTAAAAGACTTCAAACCTTAATAGGTCCGTTTAATACTAACTAATTTCGTGTGTCTAAATGATTGCAAATGTCAAGACCTATTGTTCGAGCTGAGTTTCGATGTCTAAACTGGGCCTAAAAAGCTGATCTAGTTGAGTAGCGATATCGTTAAAATAGAGAGTATGCGGCACGTTACAGTCACTTTAAAGATAGAAAATGTCGACGATCACCTTACTACAACAAAAACTGATCTAGTTGAAGCTGATCTAGTTGAGCAGCGATATCGTTAAAATAGAGTGTATGCGGCACGTTACAGTCACTTTAAAGATAGAAAATGTCGACGATCACCTTACTAGAACAAAAACCGGCACGAATGAGTTTGCGTATGAAATTTTGAAATTGTATCTAAAAGATAAAAAATTGCTACATTATGATGATCGTCAATGTGACATACAGATAAGGTATCCAGATGCCTCTGACCTCGAGTCCATAATTTCTACCACGATCCATGTTTTCCAGTCCTTGTTTTAGACCATGCCATATGTTTAAGCTGTACCCTGATCGCGAACTTTGAGGAACCATCTAGTCACGTAGTACTAGAGACAGACCCTATACTCGATATCATTGGGGGGGTTTTACGCACCCCTCCACCCTCATTTATCTAATTGTCCGTCCCTAAGTAGTTTCAGGAAAACTTTTAACACACATTACTATAATGATGAATTCTAACATAAAGAATAAAATAATTTAAAAGTTAATTTAAAAAAAAATTTTTTTTTAAATTATAAGCAAATCCAATTTTATGCAGTCCACTGTATGTTATGTGGGATTTCATAACTTAGAAGGTTTTCTATTGAGATCTGCTAAACCTGGTCTCTGGTTTAGTATCGATGTATAACCTATTTTAAGGTCTAAATATCGTATAACTGTGAAAGAGGCTGGATGCGGACGTGCCGGTCCATGGTCATGACCTTGAAGTGCAAAAACCATTTCATTGGATGTACAGTAATCTTTCGCGCTATGACGGGTTGAACGGATGTCGCGTCGATTCCGTCCGAGCAATGTACCAAATTGGAAGAACGTCAAAATAACAAACAGGAATTGATTAGAAATGGTATTTGTACGTCTAAAGCCTCCTAGGTTGACAAGTATCGCTAGTTAAGTGTATACCCATGATATAATATCACAAATGTCGGCCTTCAAGACATTAAAATCATTACACCTGTTTTGCTAAAAAAAACAATTAATCCCTATTTGTTTATTTGTTATTTTTCATTATTTTTTATATGACATAAAATTTATTATTAAAATTTATTAAGATAATATTTATTTAGTTTTATTAATTGTATTTCCTTTATATATAGGCCCTTTATTTATGATATGAACAATACATGTAAACAACTTATTTGAACTTGGTGTGTGAAATAACGAATCTAAATCTGACACAGTTCTTGCAATTAGTTGAAATATTAAATCTCGAGGTTCACTCGAGGGCTGAGGGATTCGTTACGCACTCTACTAGCTACCTTCGCACACCTTTGTCATAAGCGCCATAGTTAACGGATTTATGGATTTTTGAATTTTTAAACTCTTAACATCGGTTTCCTTTGGTAAATTAATTATTGTAAAATAACTGTTATAAATACCGCTTTCTGATTGGTTGGGGCGTCGTGCATTTCCCAAACCTTCTCTCGTGTTCTGCCAATCCCCACGTGTGTGCATAAAGTGCGCGCGCGCGTTTTTTCAGTTATCACTTAAGCTCAGAGAGGCATTGTGCTACCTTATTCTCTTCTACTCCCATTCCAGTTACACCTAATTGGAAAACGTAGTCGGGTTCGAGAAGGTTATATCATCGAAGCTAAGACCGAAAAGGATTTTGGGTACTCCGAAATGTGTATTATATTTGCATATAGACATGTAAAAATGCACAGTAGAGCAAAGTCGGTCGACCTAGATTAACAACATGCCAAAGCCATTATGCATAAAATGTGCACAGGAAGGGAAAACTGCAACACGCATGAAATTAGCATAATTGTCCCCTTCGGTCTTAGCTAGCTTTGATGATATAACCTTTTTTTGAACCCGACGTTTTTTCAATTAGGTGTATTCTATCTAGATTGCGACATATAAAAAAATAATATATGGGCTCTTAATACTAACCTTTGAGAGATCTACTTAGAGTTTCTTGTCATATCATTTCAGTACGTATTTCATCTCAGCACCAAAACTAATTCGGCCAGGCAGTATTGTTTCTTTGAAAGTCAGCATCATGAATGCAGAAGGACCAGTTCACATCACAGCTGGTATACTAGAGGGATATCATAGGGTCCAGAAGCTTATTGCAAATACTACTGGGTCATTTTCTGCTGGTGAGTAAATAAATACAAATAAATAAAGCGTGATTTAATAAGAGCACACAGCATGTGCGCGCATATTAAAATAGAAAAAAACGTGCTTGCAGCACTGCGCTTTGTGCTTCTTCTACAACACTCTTAAAAACGCGCGCAGGTTTGTTACTTTTTCAATACAGAACTAGATTTTGTGGGAGCGTGAATAACCAGGTTATTGCCACAGTGCATTGGTAGCGTAAAGGTTTTACACTTAAATGAGACTCTCCTTCAGTAAAAAAAGAACCCATCTTAACCTTAAAATATATACATATATATTGTGTTATAGTTCTTTAGCATAGAAGGGTCACCTCGTTGTTGTTTTTGTTGTTAGCAGCAGCAGCAGCAGCAGCAGCAGCAATATAAAGCCCACATTCAATGCTAATAAAATGTTTCCCTTTTGATCTAAAGGGTCAGCTGGTACTCTGGACATCCAGGTAAAAACCTTCACGCATTATTCTCAAAGGGATGTCTTATGAATACTGGACACTGTATAGGAAATTCCAGGGTGATAACAATAACGTTGGGTACGAGCTAGGCTGCAAATTTAGTAGAACTGTGTGCGGAGGCGTTTAACGGCACATGATTGGACATAGTGCGATCCCCCACGACTTCCTCGCAATATATATGTTGCATTGTGTCTCACCAACACCGCCCTCTTTTTGTAGCGGATCGAATATTCTTTAGGATTTCGTTTGGTTAAATTTTATATTCTACAGTGAACTGGTAAATATGAACATAAATATGAAATTGTCTTTCATCCTTGGTGATGAATGATGCCCCCGTCCCTCCAAATCAAAATTCTAGAACCGCAACTGTGTAAGGATATAAATTACTTCATTACTTCATTGTGAACACATTGTGGTGTGCAGCATTCAGTATTCACAAGACACGTTTAATTGTTTTCCGACAATCTCTTGGAAACACTTTAATTGACGTCCACCAAAAACCTATTTTGTGGCAACGGCAAATTGTACGCGGATTCCACCCCGTGGACTATTGAGAAGCACTGCATAAGCATAGCAGGGCTGTAGCCACCATGGGGCAAGCAAGGAAGCTACCTCGGTAAAATGTCACAAATGTACCTCAAACTCTGGAAATCGCATTTCCAAGGGTCTCAACTTCAAAGTTTTTCGGAGATGCATAACCCCGAACCCCCCTACCCCCTTGTTGCTCCTGGCTTCGCCCCTGGTTTGCCTCAAGAAATAATTCGGTCACACTACGGCCCTGCATAAAGCCCTAAAAAAATATTTCAAAACCAAATTATTTTCGACCAGGGATTATGAGTGGTAAGATTTATCATGTCCAACTTTGATTAATAGATTCCAAGTGGACTGGGTTACGGACGTTACGACATGTTCGTGAATGGTACTGGTGGACTGACGTTCTATCAGAAGAACTATGTGGATTTCAGGAATAAAGGAATGTCCTTCTATGTCCAGACAGATAAGGGAATCTACAAACCTGGTCATACTGGTAAGAATGTGTGTGTCAAACATGCCACACCAAACATCCTTTTTGTGAACTAAAATTTGAAACAATTGAAATCTTATATATATTTTTCTTATTTAGTTCATATGAGGGTCTTCGCACTTCTGCCAAATCTCCAGAGCTATATGGGAAAGGTATTTACAGATACTGTTATCATCACTAGATAACTTAGTTTATGGATTTGACCTTGTCCAACTAGTTTGTTTATACTAAAATAGTTACACCTTTCACCCACGGGTGTTTTGCGTCATACAGTCCAATAGTCCTCTTGCAGAACGTCGAAATGCAGCTCAATTTGGAGGACATAACAATAGGTTCCCAATTCTCATGAGATTGAAATTCTTTTGTTTTGTCCTTCAAATTGAGCTGCTATTAAGTCACATGCAAGTGGTCTTAAGACCTCTTAACCTTGGGCGTAACGTTAGCCCATTTTAGACGATGTTTTATTACCTTGAGTATCATGTCTTTGTTTAATGGTTGCGCATGAGAAGACAAAGAATTCTATTCTCAAGAGAATGACACATGTTCTGAATGAGAAAACATTATACGCCAAAGTAAAGAGGTCCAATATTGATTAAAACCGAATTACAGCTAAAAAAAGTACTTGTCTTCCCATTTAAACATACTTACTTTACCTTTGTGTTATGTAATCCAGTGTCATCCAATGTTAACGTTTCTTTCGTTTTTACTCTCTCTTTCAGATGACTGTTGATATTGTGGTAAGTATGTAACAAGAAATCGTGTTAGGGAATGTTTTGAAGCCCCGTTTACATGAAGGTAGATGACTCTTCTTCTATGGCTTGCTCTTTTGTCCGCTGAAGCAGTAAGGTTTATCTTTCCTTCATGTGAAGGGGCTCTTCATGAACACAAATAGTTTGTTTTTAAATATATCATTAATAATTAATAACAGATGGATATTGTTCTTACAGGACCCAAACAACAACAAGATGGCTCACTGGCCTGATCTTCAAGAGCCTTATGGTGGGTTTATCATTTGATATCAGTGATTAAGACAAAATAAATAATAAATATACCTTTCCAGCTTGGTAGTAATGTTTTCTCATTTCAGACCACATGTCATTCCCCCTCTAGAGTATCATTTTCTTTGAACATGAATATGGATACAATTCAACAAACAAATAATTTTTTTCTCAAGAGATTAACATGAAGTAGGAAAACATAATCGCCCAAGCCGAAAAGGTCTATTGCGCTTGTTTTATGAAAATGATATATTGTTAGCACTACTGAAGCTAACCTTGTAGGGCCATAGCTAGTTTGAGGCAAGCAAGGCAGTTGCCTCGGTAAATTGTCAAAAATGACCGTGGCCACTCTAAGGCAAGCGAAGCAGTTGCCTCGGTAAATTGTCACAGATGCCCGTCAATACTAGATAAAATTGCTTATCCAAGGGCATCAATTTCGAATTTATTTTCTAGTTCTAGTTGCTCCCCTCTTTGCCGCTCTTTTGTCTCTGTAAACATTTTGGTCTGGCTACGGCCCTGCCTTGGCTCTTGCTGATTGATGTATTTTGGAAATGCTCCAAAATTGCGTCCCCTTTTTGCAGACTCCTAACAATATTGATAATATTTTCTAGGTGTCATCAAGAAGGATTTCAAACTTACAAGCCAACCTGTCATGGGAAACTGGAGGATCTCAGTGTCAGGAAAGGTACACAGATAAGGTAACATCTACTGCAAGGTTTCTATTTTTATGTTAATTATTATGTCTGACCATTTGTTTTGCAGGGAGAAAATCATAATCAATATTTTGAAGTCAAGGAATACGGTATGACCTTTTCCTTTCCTTTCCTTTCCTTTCCATTCCTTTCCTTTCCTTTCCTTTCCTTTCACTTCCTTTCCTTTCTGTTCCGTTCTTTTTGCTTCTTTGTCTTTCTTCTCCTTTCCTCTCCTCTTCTCCTCTCTCCTCCTAACTCTTCTTTTTTCACTTTTTCTCCTAAGTTTTTCTTTGCCAGTTTATCGTTTAAATTATGCTATTGAGTTGTTAGAATTCTATGACAATTTGATTACAAGGGAACAATTTCCAGTTCAAAAACATGGCCAGTTATAGCACACTGTCTTAAGAAAATATTCCACATCAGCAAATAAGGATTCAGTAATAGTGAGCTTTAGGTTATACAATATTTAATCAATATAAGATTATGTATTGTCATAGATAGCCACATCACCTTTTTACTTATATTTTTCAGTTCTTCCCAAGTTCGAGGTAACCATCACTCTTCCACCGCTTATCTTGAAGAAAGATTCAAAATTCCGGGGTTCAGTGTCATCAAAGTGAGTAGTAGTCATTTGTATATTTGCCATTTGCCAATTCAAGCTAGAAAATAATATGCACCATAACTTGGTATCATATCACCCTAAAACTGCATTTTATTTAAGGTACACTTATGGACAGGGTGTTAAAGGTACACTTGACATTGAAGTGTATTTCAATGCCTGGAGTAACCAAAAGATCAAGAAACAGCTACAGGTAGGTAACAAATCTTCATCATAATTGATTCAAATAGCTAGCGGGCACATTTATTCTCTGTGAGAAGGGCGAAGGGTGTGGGGGGGCACTAAAGTTGGTGGGAGGGCCGGGGGGACCTAAATTTCATCATTCCCTTTAGGGGGCCTGATATAGAGGAGTGGGTTGTCAGGAGGGAGGATAAACTTGGCAAAATTACTTGATTCTGATAAATTTTGAAAACTTTCAAAACATCACTCATACCTATAAATTCCAAATTGTATTCGATATGGTGCAATTTCCTATACTAATTACAGCAAACTTAGTAGTTGCAAGCTGCCCATTGATATTTTTTTCTCTGGTGAAAGGTTATATGCTGCTTAATTTTGATTGACGGCAGCAAAAATGAAAAAAATGCATTTCACCTAAAATTACAATGATTAAGAGCTGTGCTGCTGTAGTAATTCATACCTCTATTGAGTGGTCAACTGTTATTGAGCTGGTCATTCAAAAATTCCTTGCAGGTGGCCACTTAATAATAACCCCTTTACTGTAATTGAAAGTTACCTCTTTTTTGTTTCTCCAGCTGACAGGAACAACTTCCTTTGACTTTGACATGGAAGAAATCCTGCGTCTTTACCTCAGGACCTACAAACAGGATTATGAGTGTAAGTTATACCAGTCCTGGTACACACTTAGTGTCAATGCAACAGTCACAGAAGGACTGACAGGAAAGACTGCAAGTAACGAAGAGAGCGTCAAGTTTTATTACTCGGATATCAAGTTAGAGTTCCCTTCATTTAATCCAAAGAATTATAAGCCAGGACTTGATTTCAGCACAGTGGTAAGTAACACTGAAGGCTGCGTTCATAATGTATGGCAGAAGGGGGGGGGGGGGGGGCAGGTGAAATTTAGGAGTGGTCGGAAAAATTTTTACCAGTAAAATAAGGGGGAATGCAAAATTTTTAGAAGAAGCTACAAGAGATTCCCCAGGGGGATAGTTATTTTTTGGGGGACTTCAAGGGGGTGGGGGGTCTTAAGAATTTTTTTGTCATTTAAAGATTTCGCCTGCCCCCATCCCCCTTCCCCCCCTCATCTGCCATACATTATGAACGCAGCCTAACATGGGTACAAGTGATAGAACATAAGAGACCTCTTTACCTTGGATAATGTTTTCCCATTTCCAACCACATTTAATTCCTTATTGGCTTATTTCTTTGTATTTGAATTAAACAGTTGCACACTTGGACACGACTCAATAAATGTTATTCTCAATTAAATGACATGTGGTCTGAAATTTTAAAAAACCAACATTATAAGCCCAATGTCTCATTCCCTATAGTATTCTTTCTTTATCTAAACAGTTGTACACGAGAAGATACATGAATATGTTTTTGCTTGCATTACCTCTTTAGCGGGCAGCAATAAGTATTTTGAGATCAGTGTTTTTCCAATATATTTTGAATATACCCCTCTTGATTTGCAGCTCAAGGTGACTCGAAATGATGGTGAGTTGGTCGATCCAACAAAACTGAAAAAAATGAAAATCTCTGTCAGTACGATGTACTCAAAATTGAACCAAGAGCAAACAGTGATCTATACCCCATCCCCAGAGGGCATGATTGTCATTCATAACCAAGTACCTAAAGATGCCAAAGAATTGAGTATTAGGGTAAATATAAACTCTTTATTCCTTGAGCACAGTAATAGACTAACTTGAATAATAGATCTGCGAGCCAGCATAATCATTATACCCAGATTAGTAGTAATCATTTACTATGAGCATGCATCCCCACAATGGGTAGGCATGCCAGGATATACCCAGATCAGTAAGCCATTACACCCGTACCTGATATGCATGCCAGGATATACCCAGAACAGTATCCCATTACACCCATACATGATATGTGTGCCAGGATATACCCAGATCAGTAACCCATTACATCCATACATGATATGTGTGTCAGGATATACCCAGAACAGTATCCCATTACACCCATGCATGATATGTGTGCCAGGATATACCCATATCAGTATCCCATTACACCCATGCATGATATTTGTGCCAGGATATACCCATATCAGTATCCCATTACACCCATACCTGATATGTGTGCCAGGATATACCCATATCAGTATCCCGTTACACCCATACCTGATAAGTTAGCCAGGATATACCCAGAAAAGTATCCCATTACACCCATACATGATATGTGTGCCGGGATATACCCAGAACAGTTACCCATTACACCCATACATGATATGTGTGCCAGGATATACCCAGAACAGTATCCCATTACACCCATACCTGAAATGTGTGCCAGGATATACCCAGAACAGTTACCCATTACACCCATACCTGATATGTGTGCCAGGATATACCCAGTACAGTTACCCATTACACCCATACCTGATATGTGTGCCAGGATATACCCAGAACAGTTACCCATTACACCCATACCTGATATTTGTGCCAGGATATACCCAGATCAGTATCCCATTACACCCATAACTGATATTTGTGCCAGGATATACCCAGATCAGTATCCCATTACACCCATACCTGATATTTGTGCCAGGATAT